AGAAAGAAACAGAAGTTTCTTTTTTTCAAATTTGTTTTATTTTATTTCATATCGATATTTCGAAGAATAAATTTTCATTATCGAGATATAAAATGAAATTATTACAATAATAGAAAACTTTGCATGTAACAAAATAAGAACAAAGAGAAGAAAGAGAGAGACGTTTATGACGAATAGAAATGAATTATGGGTCAAACAGACTAGCCGGATAAAAAGTGAATTAAAAAATATGATTGGTGTTGTTTCGTCGAAACACCAATCATGTTGCTTAATTCAATTTGAATTAATTCTTCGTCGTGTAATGCGTACAAGGTCTTATAAACATCTCTATAAAATATAGAGAGATAAACAACAGCTTTTATTTATCTCTTTCCATATTTTATAGATGTGTTTAGAATTCATTTCTGTTGATTCTAAATATCTCTTTGTTCTTATTTAGTTCGATGTAAAATTTTCTATTTTCATAACAATTTCATTTTATATCTCGATAATGAATATTTATTCTTCGAAATATCGATATTAAATAAAATTATGCAAAAATTTGAAAAAAGAAACTTCTGTTTCTTTCTATCAAATTTAAACAATAATGTAATATACGGCTGTAAAATCATTATTATTATTATATGGAAAAAAATTTCAAAGAGCCTCAGGGATTTTTATGGTTTTAAGAGTGGTTGCAACGACTTTCTAGGAGATTTTAAATTTGTTATGCTAGTAAATAAGAAAACCAAACAAATTTTTATCTTAAGATCATGAATTTTGAAAGTTTTACGATGAAAATACCATTAGAAATTTTGCAAAAAATTTTTTAAAATGGGGGGCTTCTAATAAGGGGGAGCTTGTAATATGGGAGGGGTTTCTATTATGGGGGGGGGGGGGGGGGGTAGGCAACCATGCTCACATAAATAGGTTATCAATAGTTTGATAATATAATTCTTTTTTATTGAAATAAATATTATTGTATGGATGTATAGGGGAAGATACTATAATTTTTGGATACCCTATATATCTAACACAATAGATAACGATATTGCGTAGTAGACAACATTATTACGTAATAGAGAACAAGATCAAGGCCAAATATAATGTTTGTTTGACCTTGATCAACAATAACGAATATTAGTTGAGAGCAAGAGAAGATCAAAGGAAAAAAAAATGAAGGAAAGGAAAGGAAAACAACACACACACGTATATTTATGTTTAGCGTATTGCCAAGACAGAACGAAAAGAAAGAAACAGAAAAGAACAGTAGTCAATGTCAATACATTACAAGCTCATTAACTCTAGTAGTACCAAGTGGGTCATTTTTGACCCATACTTAAATATTTGAAAATACGGTGGAAATGTTTTGTTATTTCTTTTCTTGATTCTATGCCAGAGTCACTGTGAAACATATATATATCCTTGAAGAATTAGGAATAAGTTTACTCTCATCTCTTTTGGGTTTTCACTTAAGCATTTTGACAAATCTACATAAAGATGTTCAAAATGCCTTAGCTGTGGTTGGCTATCCTGTGATAGAGGAACAAGCACAAAAAGCAAATGAAAATTCTATTTAACCCAAACTCAAACGATGTTCGATTCGCCATTTTCTAGAGATAGAAAATATTCAAATAAATGTTATAAATGTTCAGAATTTGTTTGTAATGAGCATTCTGTCAAACGTATTTTTTGTATTAACCCATTCGCGGTGATATGACTATTGTTTTCTCATAATTCGTGAAAGGTTATATTTCTTTATTCGTAGTACATATAGTACTTCAACACAACTTTTATCGACGTTTGTCTTATCATTATAAGCTATGGGTCCTCATCTATCAACAATAAAAGTATTCGCTCCTTTGGTCAAAGGATGGCACAGATATTTAATTTTTGCACGATAAACGAGCTTTTGGACCCCTCTATAGTAGGTCCCACCGCTGGATTCCATCGCCCCGAAAGTGTTAATTGTTCCAAATAAAAAAAGATCATTATTTTAATAATTTCTTCATCAAATCGAATATAAAAGTAGCACATTTAGGCTAAAACATTGATGTAAAAATAAAATAATCACTTTTCAGAACTGTATTCTACCAGTAAAGTGTTAAAAAGGCTTGGTACTACTAGGGTTAACTGAGAAAGGTGTAAATTCGAGAAAAGGATCTCGGTTGCATATGTTAAACAGACAAGGGAAGTATGGTATCCTAGTTTATGTGTGTACTAATAAATAGAATGCATATTGATAAAGAAACGCAATAATGTTATATTTATTAATATCTAATACAAAATACACATGAAAGTGTTTGTAAAAAATGTCTTTGGACAATGCTTATTTCACTTTTTTTCTTCATCTTTTGTAGTTTCTTTTTCCGATTAACTGTGCAGTTATTCGAACTCTCCAGAAGGTGGGTGCAAGGACGTAGCTAGGGAAAAATAGGGGGCTGCCTCCCCCTTTAGGAGTAAAAATACCTGGAGGGGTACGGAAAAATAATTTTTGTCCCAGTGAAAACAATTTTTTACCATGGTGGCCCCCTCTTCAAAAAATTCCTGGCTACGTGCTTGGGTGGGTGTGGGTATGGGTTGGTGTATAGCGGATTACATGGAATTAAACGAGGCTTTGTTAATGATGCTCCTCCACCATTCGCTCGTAAACATAACATACACCGTATCGTCAGATAAATCATTTTTGCTATTCTGCTCATTCTTTCTATTAATCATATGCAGTGCTCTGTATATAACCATATGTACATATATATGAAAAAAACCGAGATCTTTTCGTCATATTGTGTACTCGGAAAAAACCGAGATCATTTTCATCATTTTTTTCCGAGACAAATTGCACTCTTTCCAAATTTCGTATTATTGTTTATGGAAGGTCTTAATCAGTACTTGGGTTGTTTTATTGATCATATTGATAATCGTGATTTTGAAATATTTATTGGTGATTATCAACATTTAACTTCTATACAATGTATTTTTGCTTGTCAAAAGCAAAATTATCGCTATGCAGCTATACAAAATGGTAATGAATGTCGTTGCGGAAATGATTATGGCAAATATGGTCAAGTATTGGATGATGAATGTAATTATTCGTGTGTAACATCTGAGAAGTGTGGTGGTAATAAGCGAAATAGTGTTTACAATGTTAATAATTCAATTGATATGTCTAAAACAGGTAGTTTTTGTTTTTATTTTCTAATTATTTGAGTTATATAATAAAATGGAATTCGTTATATTTCTAGATTTGCCATGTCTGAATACTATGGTTGGTTATCAAGGTTGTTTTGATAGTGTAATGTTAGATGTAGTAATGGGCGTTGTGAAGTCGATTAGAGAATGTATTTCACACTGTGAAATGTACTATTATTATGCAGGCATCATGAATGGGTAAAATCTCTTATTTTAATGAAAATCTAATGAATTTTGTTTGATTCTATTGATGGAAAAAAACAAATGGCCGTACGATATAGATTTTTCTTTTTTGTAGTTATTTATGTCATTGTGGAAATGAATTAAATTTACCCTCTGTGAATTCAGTTGTATGTAATATTCCATGTAATAGGAGTGTAAATGCTATGACAATTGATTGCTGTGGTGGTCTTCATACATTCAGTGTTTATAATACTAAAAATTATCGTTAGTATAAATAAATGATCAATTAAGAAGACCTTTTTTTTAAAACTATTTATGTTGTTTCTTTAGAATATCTCTCAGTTGAAGATTTATCTCAAACACATATTCGAGGTATATATCTTTTGTTTTGTTGGTTAATCATATCTATAGTTGGATAATTAACGATAATTTCATACAATATATACATAGTGGATAGAATTATAAAGAATATTAATTATGACTAATTTATTTAGTGGGACGAGTCGGTAAGAAATATTGCATTAATCTTTTTTTCTGTGTGTTTATAACAGTTAATTTTGTCTTAGTCTTCATCCTATACCATGGTTGTTAGATGTATATTTTTATTTTGTGTCTATAGTGCCAGACAAAAGTTTAGGACTTTCTTTCTCTCGTCGTTTTCTCGAACGATAAGAGGTTGAGCTTCGGTTTCAAAGGTGATATATATAGTATGAATGAAGGGCTACAAGATGCACTATGGGAGACCAATAGATCTTTCCATCCTGGTTCTTGGTATTCTATCAAGGATTTTTCGAAAAAGAAAAACGGTTTTTTCATTTTTAGTATTTCGCATTTTCTAACCAAGAGATTTTTG